CCATATCAGCCATTACTTCATACCTTGATCCTTTGGGTTTGGGGGGTGCTGGTGATTGAACCCAGAACTTCACATATGCCACACAAGCACTCTACCGCAGATCTGCACTCCCAACCTCCTAGACAAGTCCCCTATATTCAATTGTTTTCTTCAGAAATTTGCCAGGGGATGGTGCCCTTTGTTAGAGGTAGCTGGGGCGGGGACAAACACCAGCAGCTTTGAAAAAGACACCTCCCACATTTCATTGCAAAAACCACATCTGATGTGTTCAGTGAAGCCCGACATCCCAAAGTGTAATTCATTCTCCAGACTGTCAGCAACACTCCTGTCAGATGTCACAGTGAGTGAGGTCTACCCTGGATGGCTGTGGGTAGTTCTGTGACCTACAGGTTACTATAGCCACCACAGACAGACATAAGGGACTCCTGATGTCTTATTTTGAACAAATAAGTTTTTCAAATTAGTGAGCATTGTACAAGGTAGAGAGTTTTATTATGACAGTTCATGTATATAATGTGCTTTGATCATATTCATCTTTCCCCCCACATTCTCTTTCCCCTTCTATATCCTTAATGGCCCCTTGTTACTTTCATAAACGCCCATGTCAGGTCCCCTCCCCATGCCAGAGTCCACAGGAGAGTAAACATGCTGTACCCGATTTTCTGAACCTGCTTCTTCTGTTCATCTATTGACACGTATCTAGGTGGATTCCTTAACTTGGCCATTGTAAATTGTGATACAATAAACATGAGTCTGTAAGCATCTCCATGGTAAGCTAACTTTGGTACCTTCAGGTGGATACTCAGAAATGGTATAGCTGGGTCACAGAGAAGTTCCATTTTCATTTTTTCTTTTGAGAAATCTGAACACTGATTTCCATAGTGGCTGGACTAATTTACATTCCCACTATAAATGTGCAAGGGTTCACCAACCCTATCAACATTTGCTTTTTTTTTTTTTTTTAATAGCTAGGCTGACTGGAGTAAGATTGAATCTCAATGATTTGCATTTCCCTGATATGAATGGGTACATTTTCTCATATACTTATTGGTTATTTGTGTTTCTTGATTGGAAAATTGTTAAGTTCATTTGCCCATTTGTTGACTGGATTATTTATTGTTGAATTTATTTTTAAAGATCTATATTATTTATTATGTATAGTGTTCTGCCTGCACACCAGAAGAGGGCACCAGATCTCATTATAAATGGTTGTGAACAGCAATGTGGTGGCTGGGAATTGAACTCAGGACCTCTGGGAGAGTAGTCAGTGCCCTTACCCACTGAGCCATCTCTCCACTCCCCTTAAAGATTTATTTTTATCATGTGTATATGTGTGTGTTTGTGTGAGTGTAAGCCATGTATGTGCAGGTACCTGCAGAGGTCAGAAGAGGGCACTGGATCCCCTGGAGCTGTAGTTACAGGCAGCCCTGGGTGCTGGGAACCAAATCAACTCTGGTCCTCTTCAGGAGTAGCAAGTGGTCTTAACCACGGAGCCATCTTTCCAGCCCCTATGCAGAAGCTTTTTTTTTTTTTTTTTTTTTGGTTTTTTGAGACAGGGTTTCTCTGTGTAGCTTTGCGCCTTTCCTGGAACTCACTTGGTAGCCCAGGCTGGCCTCGAACTCACAGAGATCCGCCTGGCTCTGCCTCCCGAGTGCTGGGATTAAAGGCGTGCGCCACCACCGCCCGGCCACGCAGAAGCTTTTTAATGTAACCCTGTTTGTCAATTCTTGGTCTTATTTCCAAAACCTTGTAGTTTTGCCCTTTTGTTTTCCCCTACTAGTTTAAAAGTTTCAGGTCTTACATGAAGGTTTCTGACCTGTTTTGAGTTGATTTTTGTACCGGGGGTAGTTTTTGCACAGCACCATTTGTGAAAGAGGCTGTCTGTTCTTCAGTGCATATTTTTGGCCCTTTTATCGAGAACTAGATGTCAGGGTTTTTTTTTTGTTTTGTTTTGTTTTGAGACAGGGTCTCTCTATCTAGCCCTGACTTACTATGTAGACCAAGCTGGCCCACCGGCCTCTCCCTCCCATGTGTTGGGATTAAAGGTGTGCATGTCCACCACACCCAGCTCAATGTAGACTTATTTTGAAGTCTTCTGTTCCCTCGTTCCATGTGTCTGTTTTTATGTTAGGAGCATGCTGTTATTTTTCTCACAGTGGCTCTGTAGTATTCTTTGAAGTCAAGCACTTGATATGTCTAGTACTGCTTTTTATTCCTCACTTTGGGATTGCTTTGGCTATTTGGAGTCTTTGGTATTTCCATATAAATTTTAGAGCCCCCCAATTTCTCTTTTGAATTGCCTTCAGATTTAGATGAAAATTGCAAAGAATTTGTAGATCACTTTTATAAATGGCCATTTTCTCAATATTCTGCCAAATGTGGAGTATTTCTATTTTCAAGTGTCTCTCTTTCTTTAGTGTTAGGTCTCAGACAGTCCATATTTAGGGGTCAGGCTGTCCATGTGTCTAGAAAGGAGCTCAAGCTGGACTACAGGAGAATTTCTGGTGGTTAGGTAAAAGCCAGCAGTCCTCAGGAACTCGTGAAGGTGGTTCGGATCTGCCAAATAAGTCATTCCCGATTTCTGGCAGAAGGGGCATATGGGTCCATACCTTGGTTGCATATCAAAGACCATGCTGGCGTCCAGGCTCTCAGTCCCTATTCACAATTCTACTCGTTCCCATATTCTACTTGTTATATATTTCAAACTAGCACCCTCTCTCTTCTCACCTCCTCAGGCTTCCCTCCTCTGTAAGGGACCAGGTTTTCTCCTCTGCCCTGCTATTCACCTTTCTCTACATAGCCCTGGTCATGTCAGTCTGTTCCTTTCTCTTTGCTTTGAATTCTTCCAAATGCATGCATCTGGATATTTTCTCTCTCATGGCCATGTCCAGTCTGCTTTCTTTTCTCTCTGCTCTGGACTCTGGATCTCTCTCTCTCTCTCTCTCTCTCTCTCTCTCTCTCTCTCTCTCTCTCTCTCATGTTAATAAAAAATTTTCCCCTTAACTATACCACGGGGCTGTCATGTCAGCAGTTTCTTTCTTTTCTTTTTTTTAAGTAATTCTATTTTTAAAAACTATTTATTTCTATTTTTATGTGCATTGGTGTTTTGCCTACATGTATGTCTGTGTAAGGGTGTTGAACCCTGGAGTTACAGTTGTGAGCTGCCGTGTGGGTGCTGGGAACTGAACCTGGGTCCTCTGGAAGAGCATTTAGTACCATCTCCAGCCCATTAGCAGTTTCTTAACTGTGCCCCCGGCATTCGTCTGGTATTGAAACCCTAGTATACATTTAGTGCTTCATAATTTCTTTCTCTCTTTCTCTTCCTTCCCTTCCTTCCCCCTCCCTTCTTTCTCTCCTTCCTTTCTTTCTTTTTCTTTCTTTTTTTTTTTGAGACAAGGTCTCACTATGTACCCTTGGCTACCTGGAACTCACTCTGTAGCCCAGGCTGGCCTTGAACTCATAGCGATCCACCAGCCTCTGCCTCCTGAAGCATCACCATGCCCAGCAGATTCATCACTTTCCTTGTCCAGATTTTACCGTCTTTGGCTAAGCTTTAGTCCTAATTGGTTTTGTTTGTTTTTGAGGCTGTTATGATTGGTCCTGGCTTCCTGACTTTTTTCACAGTGAGCTGCTGGTACACAGAAAAGCCACTGACTTGTTGTTGATTTGTATCTCCCTCCTCTGCAAGCTTCAGGTCTTGAATGTGTCGTCGGGTCCTATCACTTGAAGACAGGCAATTTGCTTTCTTTTTAAATTTGTATCTTTTTATTCCTTCCTCTTGACTCAGCAGTAATTGCTTTCAAGGATGAACTTGAACTGGTTTTTCGTGTGTGTGTGTGTGTGTGTGTGTGTGTGTGTGTGTGTGTGTGTGTGTACAAAATCCTTGGGTATTTTTAGTGTCTGCCTCCTGAGATGTTCCAGGAACACAAGGAGTGACATTTTTACTTCCACACAAAAGGAGACTGGGTATACCTGTGTATTGGGCAGGAGAGGAGAGGCTGGTGAGTTCTTGCATGAGCACTGGTGAATAGCATCAGGGCAGGAGATCACAGCAGAAACTGGGCTCTTCTGGTTGAAATACTTTCTTGCTTTCTCAGATGCAGCTAGCTTTTTTCCTGCCTTCTTCACCTCCCAGAATGACTCCTGCTTGAGAATACAGTCCTGAATGGTTTACCTAAGTGCACTCCCTTTTCTGAGAACAGGAAGTCAAAAGGTGAGTGACAGAGCCACCTGCTGCTCTTGCCTTTGCCTAGGCTCAAGAGGAGCCTGGATGCCCTCTTTGACCGGCTTGTGAACATCCGCAAATACATTCTGGAAGGTAAGAAGGCAAGGGCTGCGGTGTTAATTTTTATCTACACAGAACCAAACTAGCCTTCAGTCCACAGACTCATAAGGTTGGAGAAATCTCCCCCAAGCAGCCAAGAAGTTAGGAAAGGTGAGTTTCCATTTTCCTTTTTCTTAAATCTTACTCCATAAGTTATTACTGAAAAGGATACAACCTTATGTTCACAAAGAGATGAACTGAGGAAAAGAACCTGCTGGAAGGATGCATTATACTTTTTAATTTTTTTTTTTTGAGATTCTCTTCCCTTATAAGTCTGGTTTTCTTTGTGGTATTCAATAACTTATGTTTGATTTAAAAGGCAGGCACGGTTTGTGTAATAAGCATTAGACTCACAGATATAAAGACTCGGGAAGGCAGTGATATTTGCTAGTTCACTCAGTTTCTGTTTTTCTGTCGTAAAACGAGTTTAGTGATAACTAGTTGGTTATAAAGATTAAACGGGACAGTAAAGGGATAGTCTTAGTTCACAGACAATAGTAAATGTTCTGTGCACATGAGCATCTTCTGTGTAGAGATACATTTTAAACTAGATGTAGTATTTGACTGACTGCTGTTAATTTTTGGAGAATATTGAGTTGCTTTATATTTATTTATTTAGCTATTTATTTATTTTTCTTTCTTTTTCTTTTTTTTTTTTTTTTTTAGATAGAGTCTCTCTATGTAGTCCAGGCTGACCTGAAATTCACTATGTAGATAGGTTGGCCTCAAACTCAGAAATCTGCCTGCCTCTACCTCCTGGGTTCTAGGATTAAAGATGTGTGCTGCCATGTCCAGCTATTTACTCTTTCTTTATGGACATTTTAAAATGAAAGGTTAGCCAGATACAAGATCTGAGTATTGAGTGACACGGGCTGAGAAGAGTTTTACTACGGAGATTAACCAAGAGAAGCAAGGGTCTCCTTTTGAAGGGACTTGGTTCTAGAACTGATGCTAGAGCCAATTGTATGAATTTTGTTTCCAGACCTAGAAATTCTAAACCCCAGATCAAATTTCTGTCTAGGGCTCTCAGGGGCGGGAAGAAGGGAACGGGATGAAGGGCGGGGACCTCCTCCAGCTAATTGCACCTTTAGCTCAGAGAGCCCAGCTCTATGCTTCTCTCTCCGCAGAGGTAAGGGTGGAGCCGGTCCCTGTGGCAGTCTGGCCAACTGCTTTGGTAGGGCTGTTTTAAGTCTCCCTTGGCAAACCTGGTGGATGGGAGCCTTGCCTGATCTTTCCTAAGCTATTTCTCCAGAGAAGAAATCTCTTCTGCCTCCAGTTTGGAGTTGAACTTGACATTCCTGGGAACATGTTGAGTTAGTTTTTAACCAGAAGTTCTTTGTTCTCTTCAGCGAGCCCACCCACCTCCTCTGCTGGGCAAGGCTGGATGGTCCCCACCTGCGAAGATGATTTCATGGAGGAAGCTCTGTTGGCGTTATCATGTGTGGACCCTGGGCTGCTACATGCTGCTGGCTATCATTGCCCTGAAACTGTCCCTCAGACTGAGATGTGACTTCGATGTCATGGATCTGGACTCGAAGGAATTTCGAAGCCGGTACTGCAGGGATTTCCTGTACAAGACCCTGAAGCTGCCAGCAAACAGGTCCATCAACTGTTCCGGGGTCACTCGAGGGGAACATAAAGCAGTGATCCAGGCGCTGCTGAATAACCTGGAGATTAAGAAGAAGCGACAACCCTTCACGGAGGCCGACTACCTTAGCATGACAGCAGACTGTGAGCAATTCAAGACCAAAAGGAAATTCATACAGTTCCCGCTGAGCAAAGAAGAGGTCGACTTCCCCATTGCGTATTCCATGGTGGTTCATGAGAAGATTGAGAACTTTGAAAGGCTGCTGCGAGCTGTGTACACCCCTCAGAACATATACTGTGTCCATGTGGATCAGAAGTCCCCAGATACTTTCAAGCAGGCAGTCAGGGCCATTGCATCATGCTTCCCAAATGTCTTCATAGCTAGTAAGCTGGTGTCAGTGGTCTATGCTTCCTGGTCCAGGGTGCAGGCTGACCTGAACTGCATGGAAGACTTGCTCCAGAGCTCTGTGCCATGGAAATACCTCCTGAACACCTGTGGGACAGACTTTCCCATCAAGACCAATGCTGAGATGGTCCAGGCCCTCAAGCTATTGAATGGGCAGAACAGCATGGAGTCAGAGGTACCCCCTGCACATAAAAAGTCCCGCTGGAGATATCACTATGAGGTGAGAGACACACTGCACATAACCAGAGAGAAGAAGACTCCTCCACCTAATAACATAACCATGTTCACGGGGAATGCCTACATGGTGGCCTCTCGAGACTTCATTGAACATGTATTAAGCAACTCCAAAGCCCAACAACTAATCGAATGGGTAAAAGACACCTATAGTCCTGATGAGCACCTTTGGGCCACCCTCCAGCGTGCCTCATGGATGCCCGGGTCGGCTCCCTTGCACCCCAAATTTGACCTCTCAGACATGAGATCTATTGCAAGGCTAACCAAGTGGCAGGACCACGAGGGAGACATCGAGCATGGGGCGCCTTACACCCCTTGCTCAGGAATCCACCAGCGGGCTGTCTGTATTTATGGGTCTGGGGACCTGCACTGGATCCTTCAGAACCATCACCTCTTGGCCAACAAGTTTGACCCAAAGGTGGATGATAATGTTCTTCAGTGTTTAGAAGAATATTTACGTCACAAAGCCATCTACGGGACTGAACTGTGAGACACACTGCAAGACAATTGCTACTTGCATGGCAGGAAAATGCCGGGATTTACTGGGGCCATGTGGGGTGGGCCTGGGGCTCTGGACTCCATGTGTCCCTAGGATGAAGGGGCTGCTACTGGAGCATGGGTAAGTAGATCTCTGCTCCCCGTGAGCTGCTGCTGGTGAATGTGGCTATTCCCCAGTTCTGTCCCCAAGAGCCCCTCTTTGGCTTCCTCACAGAGCCAGAGCAAGAACTACTGTTACTTAGGAGAATAAGGTTGGAACACTGACCAGTGGTTGGCTGAAGGTTTTCTTACGGTTCTCTACAGAGTCTCTGTTTTAAAAATTCCTGGGGTTGATCACAAGAGGGGAACTTTAGTGGAAAGAACCCTCTCCTTTTGTGCTGTTAATTTAAAATAAATAGCTTCCAAACCAAAGTCCTATCCCTACAGTGTTGTCTATGAATCCAGAGATAATCTAAACAGATAAAATGTGTGAGATTTTTCTCATATGTTGAGGACAGTCTCTAGTGGCTGGCAGGAAAGTCTCCTACATCCTGTGTAGATGGCAAACTGAATTACAGAGCCAATTCTCTCATTACAGAAAGCCTTCCTAATTTTGTTTACACTGGCAGATTCTGACTTTTCCATAAGGGGAAGGACAGAGTGATTTAACTAGCTTGAACACTATGTGTTCAGGAGAAGTGCATGGAAGCTTCCTGGCCAAAGCTTGCCATCCTGTACCTACAGCCATTTACTGGAGCTCATTTACTTAGGGGGAGAGCTGTTAATAACTAGGCTGGAAAGGGAAAGTAACTCTGTCTTGCCTAAGTATTCTGTGTTTAAACCTCTTGATTTAAAGCTGCTTTGTTTCATCATGTGAGTATCAGGCACACCATTTGCCATTCTGGAGATCATGCATTTCCTTGTGGGGACACAGTAATGTGTGTACATACATATGTATACATGCTAAAGTATGGACATTTACAGGTATACATTCCCCTGTGAAATCTCTTCCTCTCTGAAGACCCAGAGCTAATTGTTGGCCAGTATGCATTCTATTCTGTAATGAACAAGGGACACTAAAAACTATAGGCAGAACCTTTGAATATGGTATAGCCGACTTCCTGTGTATGTGTCCCAGAAGAGGGATTTATGTACAAATTAACTTGTGTAATTTGAATGAGGTTCCCATCAATATGTTCTGTTAACATGTCTCTTCATCTCAAATCTTGACCCAGTTAAGGCTTTCTCTCTATAGCCAGCTTTTACTGTGCCTGTGTCCTCTAACAGTGTGTGACTGGAATTTTCTTTTTCTTTCAGTTTTGAGACAGGGTTTCTCTGTGTAGCCCTGGCTGTCCTGGAACTTGCTCTGTAGACCAGGCGGGACTTGAACTCAGAGATCTGTTTGCCTCTGCCTCCCCAGTGCTGGGATTAAATGGGTGCATTACCATGCCTGGTGGAATTTTCTATTTCTTTTCTTTTCTTTTTCTTTCTTTTTTTTTTTTTTTTGTTTTTTTTTGTTTTTTTTTGTTTTTTTGGTTTTTCGAGACAGGGTTTCTCTGTGTAGCTTTGGAGCCTGTCCTGGAACTCACTTTGTAGACCAGTCTGGCCTCGAACTCACAGAGATCCGCCTGGCTCTACCTCCCAAGTGCTGGGATTAAAGATGTGCGCCACCACTGCCCGGCAGAATTTTCTATTTCAAAGTGAGCAATTCCCTTTTTTAAAGATTGGTCACCCTGGGTAATGGGCATTATCCCTACAGACTTACCCAACACTGCAATATTGCGTCCTTTGCTCCTAGCCTTACCTCAGAGGTGACTAATGGGCAGTTACAGGCGTGGTGACTGTGTCATGAAATCTGTTGCCAGCAGCAGTGACTATTCCCGGCCCTTCCCAGAGGAGGAAGGAAGAGGGGCTGCTGCCCTGTGGGATGTATGTAGGGATACCTCCCAGAAGACACATGTCTTCACGGCTTCATGGTCAAGGTCCCCTGAAAGCGTTGTTCATATGACTGAGCTGTAGCTTTTCATATAAATACATTCAAGCTATTGGTCTGTGGACTTGTCATTTCTAGGAAGCAAGTTTCTAGAATTTTCCAAGATTAAAATTTTGTTTAGAAAATGAGTCGGGTGGATGAAAGTCGGGTTTTTGTTTGTTTGAACAGCATGAGCTCATCTAATCAGAAGGAGCAAACTTCACCTTGTTCATACTTTCAAGGTCACATGGGGAAGCCAGCACATCTGTTGAGTTTCCTTCCCGGGTCTTATCTGTTTCTGTAACCTTTCTCTGGGAAGGAAAAGCCTCATAACTGAATCGAGCTATTATACTTGTATCACCTTCCAAGGCCTCAATTTCCTCCTCACTCTGATCATTGGGCTATACTTTAATAACTGTGTCTTGGTTGCATGTGCTGCTCATTATATTTGTTCTTGGTTTAGTGACAGTCTATAGAGAGAAGAAAAAGCAGTTGCTAACTTTGGGGCAAATAATTTAGTTGGCGAGGTCAGGTAAGCTGATTAAAAATGGAGAGATTAATATCTTCTCTTGCCTATTTAAAGTACCTTCACTGACCAAACCAAAGATCTATGTATTCCACTTAGTCATTATTTATTGCAAAGGTGAATAAGTTATAATTCTCACTTTTATAAATCTTGATGTACTGACAACCAATAAAATCATTCCTCCCGCACATACGAACTGAGTTCTTGTTATTTATCACACACTGTTATTGAATTCTTTGTTACATTTATGTATGGAGGGAGGGTAGCAGGACACACACGCCATGGCTTGGGTGAGGTGGTCAGGGGACAGTTTTGGAGAGTAAGATTCTCTCCTCCCACCATGGGGTCCCAGGACTGAACTCAGCTTACGAGGCTTTGTGGCAAGACCTGCTTAGCCACCTTGCTGGCCTCACATACTGTTATCGACACTGGGAATAGGTCAGTAAAATGTCAGCAAAATGTGAAAATTCCCACACTCACATTATTCATTATCAAAAGTGCCAAGTGCCAGAGAAAAACCAAGGGAAGCGATGGAGACCTTGGGATAGTAGGGTGCAGAGGTGTGAGGCTGTTTTACATTTTTAAGGTAGTCAATGAGGCCCCCAGTGAAAACAGCACTTTCTAAAAGAGGTATAAAGGAGGCAGGGGAATGATTCATGGGGATTAATGAAAGAAGAACATTCTAGGCCAAGAGGAGAGACCTGCAAGGCCTTGCAGCAGGAACACACACGCCAAGTTTCAGAACATCAAGGAAGCTAATTCGCATGGACTGGAGAGGAAGATCAGTTGGATACCTTATAAAGAAAAGGAGTTGGGCCGGGCGGTGGTGGGGCACGCCTTCAATCCCAGCACTTGGGAGGCAGAGGAGGGGGATCTTTGTGAGTTTGAGGCCAACCTGGTCTACAGAGTGAGATCCAGGAAAGGCGTAAAGCTACACAGAGAAACCCTGTTTCAAAAAGCCAAAAGAAAAAGAAAAAGAAAAGAAAAGAAAAGGGGGTCATTCATTTGGTGATTGGGCAGCCCCATCAATTTGGTCTCTGGTGAGGGTCTTCCTGGCTGCATCAGATCGTGGTGGACAGCATCATGGTGGGGTACAGGGGGACAGATGATGAGACAGGAGGCCAGAGCAAGGGGTGTGGGCCAGTCTTGTTCCTGTCTAAGAAGCCTTTTGCCAGGCTTAACAGAGGCCTCATAAAATGATATCACTTTCTCCTAACGGCAGCCACTGTGCCCTCTCACAAGGCTCCACCGCCCACAGCATCTACCACCCTTTTTATCCCCACACGGGGGACCAGTTTTGCAACAAGTGAACAAATGAGTGACACACTCAAACCATGGCAAGACCACAAAGGAGAAAACACAGAAGAGACCCCCAGAGATGTTTTGCTAGGCTGGCCGGCCAGCAGTCCCCAGGGATCCTCCTGTCTCTGCTTCCTCGGTGCCAGGATTATAGGTGCATGCCACAGTAGCTGGCTTTTTTTTTTTTTTAATGTGTATTGGGGAGCAAACTCAGGTTTCCATGCTTGCCAGGTAGGCACTTACTTGACTTGAACTTTCTCCCAGCCTCCCTCTCATTAACATATTTTGAGGTATACTATACGTGTAGAAAAGTACAAAATGTCCATAGAAGACGTTTTACAAAGTAAACACACCTGTATAAGTAGAACCCAGATCACAGAACATAATATGACCAGCATCCCACGGTGCCTCTGTGCCCTTTCTGTAGTGACATCACCACACACCGTTTTACTTTTCCATCAACAGGGTACAGGGGTACTAATTGTTTTACAGTCTCACCAACATGTCCAATATTCTGCCTGCCAGTGCTCAAAGAGATCAGAAGAGCATATGAGATACCGTGAAGCGGGAGTTAAAGGAGGTTGTGCGTCACCTGACATGGTGCTGGGAACCAAACTCAGGTCTCCCTAGGAGCAGGACATACTCTCAACCACTGAGCAACCTCTTCAGCTCAAAAGCACAGTTTTAAAGGCAATTTCTCCTGGACTTGAATTTCAGGAGCTTCACAGACTTAAGAGTTGGAGAATAGTCGGTAAAGAGTGCACAGTGATTCAGAGAGCTAAGCCCACCTGATTCTTTCAACATGTTGCATGCTCTTGCACCTTTAAAAAAAAAAAACTTGCTTACACCTAATCCCAGGCAGATTTCATTCACGTATGTACTCAGAAAAATAAACCATTTTATTACATCGTGCGAAAAAAAAAATTAGACATAGGAGTTTTTAACCAAAGTAGAGGGCATTTTTAGAATGGATTAACAAAATCAATGTATCCTGGAGGCCCCTGGAATATAACATCAGATAGCAAGCAGTTATGTAGAGTAGCTTTATACATGTTGTGATATTATTATAAAACGTGGTCAGAGGCCGGGCAGTGGTGGCGCATGCCTTTAATCCCAGCACTCGGGAGGCAGAGGCAGGCGGATCTCTGTGAGTTCGAGGCCAGCCTGGTCTCCAAAGCGAGTTCCAGGAAAGGCGCAAAGCTACACAGAGAAACCCTGTCTCGAAAAACCAAAAAAAAAAAAAAAAAAAAAAAAAAAAAACAAAAAAAAAAAAACGTGGTCAGAGAATAAGCAAGCCCTAAGCATTTTCGGCTAAATGCTGTAGATTGCACTTACTGGTTTTTTAAGTCTTTTAAGACCCTTTGAAACAGAGCTGGGCATATAGCTCAGTTAGTAGAGCACTCCCTTGGCATGCATGAAATCCTGCATTGGATCCCCAGGATCACATAAACCAGGTGTAGTGGTGCACACTTGTCACTTGGGAGGCGAAGGAAGAAGGATCAGTTCAAGGTCATTTTCTGTTACATGTCTGGTTTGAGGCCAGCCTGAGCTACAAGAGACTCTGTCAAAAAAAAAAAAAAGGTGCTGAAAGAGTTTAATGAGTATTGTGAATTCCATTTACTTTGCACCTTATTTCTTATTACTTACTACTCTTTCAACAACTATCAACTCATGGTCAGTTTTAATATCCACTCCTCACCCTTTATGCTTTTTGAAATGGTAGACACCACATCTTAAAAAAAATTTAGTAGTAAGAGCCTGTTAATCCAGGGGATTCTCACTTCATTCTATATAATATGTCCCATAGCAGCAGGGATTTAAAATGCTTCCATAATTAGCAAGACCACAAAGGACAGCTGGGCTATTTTCATGCATTCATTTTTAGCTGTTGAAGTTTCATGGCCAGTTTCCCCCCAACTGAATTTTTGATAGAAGTAGACTTCTATTAGAGTTTCACTGTTTTCAGGCACTTGAATGAGGAGTTTGGATCCATCTTTGAGTGCCATCAGCCTTGAATACTGCTGATCTGTGAACCTCATCTGTGACCATGAGCTGGCATCTTGGCCAGTAGGACTTGATTAATTAATGGTGGCATGTTTGTTAACAATCTGAACTTCAGTGTCTGTTGATTTTTCATGGAAGATTCCCTGATCTGGGATTCTCTCATTCCTATAATTAATCTCCTAAACTTAATTTAAGATCTTGTCCGAAGGCTTAAAAAATTTCCTTAATATTTCCAATTTGTTCTTTGTAATTCTTAGCCACAAAGACCATTATTAAACAGCTCCATGATGAGTTGGGTGTGCAGGGGCTAGGGAGATGGCTCAGAGGACCAGGTTTTAGATGGAGACAGACAGATCTGGGGAATCTGGGCAAAATGGAGGCTTAAGGTTCATTGAGAGACTCTATCTCAAGAGAACACAGTGGAGAGTGCTAGGGTAGGCCATCTGAACTCCTTTTGCCTCTTTATGAACATGCACTGGGATACACACACACACACACACACACACACACACACACACACACACACACCAAGCACCTCTGTATGAACATGCACTGGGATATGTATACACACGTGCATGTGCACCAAATGTGTGGTGATGCACAACTGAAAATCCCAACACTTATGTG